GAAAAGCAGTTTTATATACTGCCCTATATCACGCGTGATAATGAGGCATTCTTCCCTGCGGTTCATTTTCGGATTTCTGGAATTAATCCAGAGTGCCTCGAGAGTTTTTCGCGCCTGTGTTCTTGATTCGCGTGCGAGGATCGTGACACATACTTCGAAGTCGTCCCCGTTATGTCTCCGGGTCCTATGCGTGCCTAGCGGGGTATTTGGTCTATTTTTGCCGGCTTGGTGTTCTTTCATGCGGACACAGAGGGGTCTACCCGTTTCGCCAATGTATTCGTCACCACACGTCTTACAGGAGATCAGATAAACTATACCCGAGCTCATGCAATCACCGTCTCTACCACTGGGGCAAACCATGCAATTTTGAGTTGCACATAGACGGTCATATAGGCGGTTACGAACTAGCTGGCGCTTAAGATTACTCGGTGGTATTTCAACTACGCTCACCGAATTCTCTAAGCCCGCCCTTCTTAAGCAGCGTTTTATAGCTGTACTTATATCATTTGAGATGAAGGGTAGGATAAACGGGACCCTTCTATCGCTAGAGTTGTCGTTTGGAGGCCTACGATTTCCTCTACACTGTAGATATGTAGACGACTGCTTTGTCCTTTGCTCAACACAAGAGGTGGTGCACACTGTTTGCGATGCCATTTCTTGGAGGCAGAGCCATTACCGCGTCTCGTCACTGGCCACGCTCTCCCGATAATCATGGTTTCTCTTTGCAAAATGAGAAATTAAATGAAAATGTATTACGAGGATACACTCCCACGGACGATGTCCATCAAAACATCTGCGCTAAGTAAGCCACCAATTGATTTGAAGGTTATTAAAAGAGTTTTATATGATAAAATAAAGTATCGGATAGGAAATGAAACCAGTAGAGGTCATACCAGCCACTCCCGCAATATCAATATGGCACCTATAGAGGTCACTTTCGAGTGTGCTAAACCAATAACGTCGTCGTCTCTTCGAGTAACTGTTGTGCAGATATGCACGCTGCAAGGTTCCATTGAAGCGAAAGAAAGAACCGCACAGTTTGGAACATTGTTTGTTTTACAAACGATGGAACATAGGAAATGAAATATCATTCATGAAATTCAGATATGTACAGAAACATCGGAAGCGAAATATGAAATAGGCGGGATGCGAAGGAATGAGGACAGTACACAAATGGATTCCTAACAGCTCAATGCAAATGTCCATTAGCTCGACTAACGAGGTTAAATTCAGGCCCACTACAACCTCACGTCAACCAGCCGTATTTGCTTTTGGGAAGGAGTTGTGGACTATTCAATGATAAATGCATAAGTTATCATACCACCGCCATGAATATAAGAATTGCTGAATCCGTGCTACTCATGAATACGGGCTAAATCGAGTGCCTCATCCTTGTTGAAGCTACCAAGTGTGTAGATCTCGCCATCTCCTCTACTGAATCTAAAAGGACGCTTCCTCCCCTGTACCATGAACAGTGCTACATAGTTTCCGCAGTTCTGTTCATCAATGTGTCTCAACGGCTTTTATATCACTGCATAAAACTCCATATGTATACGGCCACCGCTTTTCTTTCCGTATTTCATATTTGCTTTTCAAATAGGAATTCACGGTTGATCTGGACGAAATAAGAAACACCAGCCAGTTAACTGTTTATCGATCGTTGTCAAAGAAACATGTAACACGAACGGCAAAAAGCGAAGCTGGGCAGCGCGTTCGAAGCAGCTGAATCCAAGATCACGTGACATACTATAAAGGAATGAGGGGAATAAAATTTTTGGCGGATTGATTGAGTACCCAAAGTAGATATGGAAGCGATAGGTTTCACGCACAGCTCAATACTCATCTCCTTCTTCGCCGTTATCCTCGAGAGAGTCTACGCCCACCTGAACGATCTCAGTAACTTACCATGTAAGTGAACTGTCAAATACTCAATATTCTAATAATTAAGACTCCTTGTCTCAGTAATTTTAAAATTCTTGATGTACACTTTCGCTTCTAAACACTTCAGTGACCTCTTTATAAATAGTTTTTGTAGAGAAGCAAACTATATCCGCACCTAGAAATTTCACGGAATCACCTAACTCATACCTCTTCATAGTCCTTCTCTAAAGCGGCAAGATCTTCACGGGCTTCAGAGAATTCCCCTTCTTCCATCCCCTCACCAACGTACCTGGAACGTCGTCATTGTTAGAAATCTATAAATATAACAAACAATTTGTGCTGCATGTGGCGCTGTGCTTGGAGGCACCCTGCAACACACACGTGGAATCGATCCTTTCGCCCATGGCCCACCAAGCCTTCCAAGCCTCCGGGGTCTGCAAATTGGTACCAGATTTGTATAGAAGGATGGCAGCACTAGGTCGATACATTGGTGCCACCGCGAGTCATTGTAAAGGCCAGACATGCATTCAGTCACCTCCAAACGATGCGTAATGAAGTCGAATGCATGGTGAATACCTCAGAGATTGATCAACGCCAAGAAATTCATCCTTTATCCTTTTAATAAATAATAAGTATATAAATAAGTCATTTGACGAAAAACAAATCACCAGAAAATGAACAAAACCTAAGTAAAACGGGTTGTGTTAACTAAAGCCTAAATGGCAGTTAATGAAGGAAATGTTTTATCACAATCTTAACTCTTCTATTTACTGCCTTTTTCTTCTTAATGGCAGGTTATGTTGCGAAATATAACTCGTATGAAATGCTGAGATATTTGCAAAACTCCGGACCACAGGTGTATGCAGTGGAGAACGAACACGCGCTGTTGTCCTTACCGGGGAGCAGCGCGTGTTCGTTCTCCACTGCATACACCTGTGGTCCGAAATGTTTTATATTCAAACGCCGGATATCCATAGCCAGTACTAACGGATGGCAATCAAATGAATTCGGTTTGAGAAACCTGGTCTCATTTTTCAATGAAATTTTCGCAAAATCACTCTCCTTTATAAAATCGTAAAACCCGAACGGTGACATCACTTACCAGTGCACGAACGCCCTCTTGGCGTACATAAGGTCGAATTTGTGGTCAAGTCTAGCCCACGCTTCTGCAATAGCTGTCGTGTTCGACAGCATGCATACAGCTCTTGGGACCTTGGCCAGATCTCCGCCTGGCACTACTGTCGGTGGTTGGTAGTTAATTCCAACCTAAAATGAATTTTATATTTGATATCAAATGACAGACCATCAAAGTCTAAAATTATCTAAAAAAAATATTCTGTAGCAGAAATTAGTGAAGCGAATAGCAAGGGGCCACCATCGGAAACCGGTCACAATTGCAGGCCAGAGGCTACGAACAAGAGAAAGGTGTTACGTTGTCGACAGAAACCCTTCTTCCACTTCATTTTTCTAGTACATGTATGCAATATCCACAAATTGGTTGAGTCAAGTCACATATTCATAACTGCTTCATCTTACTATGTGCCACAAACAGTACACTAAATATCCGTTGTAATGATAAACCCAATAAGTCAAACTTTTTCAAATTGCAAATCCCACTTTGCTACAATCTTTACCGTGTAATCGTCAAACTTTCGAAAGGGAATGTATTGTATGAAACAAACGTCCACCTATTAATGTGAATAAGAAAGAAACTATGTAACCAGAATCTTGAGAAAACGACATCTCCCTTATGGCAGAGATCGTTCCCTGATTACTGAATAAAGATCTCTCATAGTTGGCTTCCTGCGTCGATTTAGGTTTCATATAGGTTAATGGACTCGTTAGAACAAGAAACTATGAATAACAAAACCCGCGAAATTTCTTTATGACGACACGACTCAAATGACGCAGTCGTAAAGTATAATCCACAAAAAAAGGATGCGATTCTGTAATTCATTCAAACACCAATGACTGACGACTGCAGTTACGATTTGATGGAAAGAACAGCAAAGATAATAATCCAACAATATCTCAATTTAGGCATTTCACGGTACCTTTGAGGAATACATTCCTCGCAGCTAACAAGAATTAGTCACCTTGAAACCAGTAGGACACCAGTCGACGAATTGGATGGATCGTTTCGTCTTAATGGTAGCAATGGCGGCGTTCACATCTTTCGGTACAACATCTCCTCGGAACAAAAGACAGACGGCCATGTATTTACCGTGTCTCGGATCACATTTCACCATTTGATTGTGTGGTTCAAAGCACCTGTAAAAACAGCAGATCTATTTCAGGACGCGATTTATTCTTTAACACTTCATAGATGTACTACGCAATAAAACAAGAGAAATTATGTATTACTGCCAACCGCAACAATTATTCGCATTAAAAAATAAATAAAGAATAGAGCTATCGGTGTTGATCAAGTCCTGAGGGATGCGCTATCCATTCGACTTCGCCAAGCACCGCTTGAGTAGATGCATATCTGGCCTATACAGTGACTCGCGGTGGTCTACCGATGTATCGAGTCAGTGCTGATATCCTCCCAGGCAAGTCTGGTATTTACTGAGCCCAAACGGATGGAAGCCAAACCAGAAGTATGGCACCGAACCAATGACCATGTATTTATTTAAGAGCACCTATAAACACTGCACTACACGTATCTATCTTGTTCACATTTAGGCATATTAATGAATAAAAGATCTCCTTTACACATCCCATTTTTGATGTGAGCTAAACTCACGCAGTTAAAGCAGACAGCTTTCAGACCTACCCTACCTCACTCGTTTTGCACCGTAAAAGCTCACTTTCCGATCCTCATTTACACGGCAAGAAATTTGTACTTCGTTAATAACAATGCGAAGACAGTGTAATACTTACATGTTTGTAATTTCGGCGACAGAAAGTTGTTCATGATAGGCTTTTTCGGCCGAGATCACGGGTGAAAAGGTGGCCAGTGGGAAGTGTATACGAGGGTACGGAACCAGATTGGTCTGCAATTAGTGATTATTTCCTGATGGTATTATATACAAATCGAAATAATGTAACCATAATGATATCTAGATATTTCTAAAACTCCGGACCATCGTTTGTCCCCACCGCAGACACCAGTGGTCCGGAGTTTTGCAAATACCTCAAAATACCTCAGCATCATTATGGTTATAGTTCTCCATATTCTTGTTGAGCAAACACGAGGTGTTACTTTATTTTTTATTCCGTTAAAGTTGACGTTTCGGCAGTATCGCTCTTCTCTAGAGCCGTTCAGAGGCATTCAGCGACCATATGCGAGTCTATTCAGCTGTTTTTCTTGAGTGGAAGGCACAAATCGACTAATTTATATCGGTAATACTAATTCATTTATGCAGGAAGGTGCCAATGTTAAAATACGACTATGAAAATTACGATGAAATAAAGAATTAAGATAAACTGCTTACATTCCTATAAAGCCTAGGAACTATATAATCCATAATAGATCTACTTGTCTAGCGTTCATCTACATATTTATCATCGTTCGCTATTGATTGACTGTGATCACTAATAAAACATAAACGGAATAAAAAAGGAATTACCTGGAATTCTGTCAAATCGACGTTGAGAGCACCGTCGAACCGAAGGGAAGCGGTTATGGAGGATACAATTTGACCTGGAAATAAATCGAAGTGGGAAGATTCACTCGAAGATAAATAGGAGAAATCAGTGAACCAATTATTACCTATGAGCCGATTCAGATTCGTGTAGCTGGGTCGTTCGATGTCGAGATTTCTTCTGCAAATATCGTAGATGGCTTCATTGTCCACCATGAACGAACAGTCCGAGTGCTCCAAAGTGGTATGCGTAGTCAAAATTGAATTGTATGGCTCAACTACCGCAGTGGACACCTATAACAGTTAAAACTTATTAATAGGCTGGTTCACATCACTGAGAACACCATATTCTATTGAAAGCCTTGCTTTGCGTGTTTTTTTTTGCTAAATAGGTAATAAAAAAAGCGCTTGCAGCGCTGTGGTTGGAGGAGCCCTGCAACACAAATGGGATCGATCCCTGCGCCCTAGCCTTCCATCCATCCGGGGTCGGCAAATTGATATCAGACCTGTCTGGGAGAATACCAGCACTAACTCGATACATCGGTAGGCCACTGCCAGATACGCATTCAAACACCTTCAACGATGTTTAATTATCGTTGAGTGCGTTGTGCATTCCTCAAGGATTGATTAACGCCGAGAGCGTTATCCTATCACGGGATTAAAAGACACCACTACATTTGTGTTCTACTCTTAGGTTCGAAATGAAAACAAATTTTCCACATACAGTGGTCGACTCGCGATCATCAATCGAAGGACAATAGTATTTTTATGGCAAAAAGACTAGTAATTTATATTCGGAGACGCGAAGAACTCATGCGGGTCGTATGTGATCCTCTACTGAATTTCAAACGCTACTTAGGAATAATAAAAAATAAATTGTTAGCTTCGAAAGAAGTTATAAACAGATAGTGTAGTGGAGATGTTTTAGATAAAACAAATTTAACACCAACTTTTTCCAAGTTACTAACAGCTGGTGGAATTTCCTAACACTTCTAAAATATTGCAAATACCTCCTTCAGATTAAAACTTCCAGAACTGAGTTTTAAAAGACCGAAAACTGTGTACTGATGGTAATCTACTAATAGCATAATAGTTGTATTACTTATACGACTCAAACACAAGTAATTTAGTTGAGACTGATTAAACTGACCTGTGGAGCTGGATAGACGGAGAACTCGAGCTTGGCCTTCTTCCCGTAGTCAACCGAAAGTCGTTCCATGAGAAGCGAAGTGAATCCGGAGCCCGTACCACCACCAAACGAATGGAATACGAGAAAACCCTGCAGTGTTTCGAGTCTTTTTCTTCACTACCAGCACATGACCACGAGTAGTGAAATATATTACCGCTACGAACACTAATTTAAACCCTCTTAAGCTTCAAGACTAAAAAGTCCAAACTGGACATACAAGCATAAAAATCTTCCAGCTTTTGTCACACTAGCTTTAACTTTTGAAGCTTCCGGAAATACAAACGCTAAAATTCACCTCTAAGCATCGTCTAACACACAAAATCGATTCAATACGACAGTGATCGTAAATTATTGTGAAAATATCCCTGATGATGAGAAGATCGACGGCGACGCTCGTTTGCAACGCCCAATTTTTTCTGTTGTGATTCTCTTCAGTACTTTTTCAGTGCTTCCGTGAAAACCGATTAGCCTTGAAATACATCGGCCCGAGAGGACAATCGAAAATTGCGCTCGTTAAGGATCAGTGGATCGCCAGCAAAACAGCGCGAGAAGAAATACTGGTCCTTCAAAGAACTTTTACGTGTTAAATACTAAGTGGTAGAGGAACCTCTAAAGTAGCTAAAATAAACAAAGCCCTAACGAAAATCATGGGGTGGTACGAAATCGCGTTAAAACAAATAACACACCTTTGCCAAACATACCGAAAAAGAACTGTGTGTGATTCGGTTCTAGTTAATTCACTATGCTTCCACAATGTAGAAACAATAATCGTTGACATTGCCTACTTACTTGGATACTTCGATGGTCTGTCATTAGTCGTGCGGACCTCAACATAATCTCCATTTTTTTACTCGGAGCCTTACTGATTTAGCAATTGTGGTTCCCTGGAGTCCCGAGGTCAGAGTCTGTCCCAGGTGTTACCACCACAGGCAATCGCCATCCTTGTGGACCAGAGGAAGATTTGCCACCATGTGACTAGCTTGGTACTGAGACGGTGACGGATTCTTGTATTGATTTATTTTTAGCTGGGCTTCTGATGGAAACACCGGACTCCTTCTCGGTTTGGGAGCCCTGCCGGGGATTAATCGCGCCCCGTACATCGCAGCCTGACACTCAGGAATACCACCCAGCCACGATGAGGTGATAAACCGTTAAAACGATCGTGCATAGATTATAAATTTGAAAAAAAAACTGCCACTACGTATCCTCATGCTTGTGAAAAAATATTTGACAAATCAAATAACCAGTGAGCCTAAAGCGTACTGCTTCGAATAGTCGATGCACTTCAGGAGTTACACTATCTCTTAGACCTCATGGCAGCCTTAACATGTTGTTGACGACAAAATGTTAATTACAGTGAATGTAATCTATAGTAGGAACTGGAAATTCACAAAAGACGTTCAACCCTTACTATAACGGAAGCTACAAAAATACGAACAAGGAGCAAGGTTTAGCTAGCTATTTATTAAAATCCAGACCTGCAGTCCAGTACAGTTGTCGGCGAGACGACGAATACGGTCCAGAGTTAGGTCGATGATTTCCTGAAAAAGGGACAAAGTTATTTACGATGCTTCGCACAACAACTTCCAAGGCCTAAGATACCCACTTTGCCGATAGTATAGTGCCCACGAGCGTAATTATTTGCCGCATCCTCTTTGCCAGTGATAAGTTGCTCTGGGTGGAAAAGCGAGCGATACGTACCAGTCCGAATCTCATCTGAAATTATTAGTTTGGAAATGGCAGCAATATTCACCATTTATTTCTAGGAATGAAGTATTAAAGAGAGAAGAAGAACAAAACAGAAAAACATCGGATCATCCTGAATGCCAACAATCCGAATACGTTTAATATTCGAATGGTTACTGCTTCCGCAAACGAAGGAATTTCAATGAACTCAACAACACATGTCTTCAAACAGAACGCACTCTGTTCAAAAACCAAAAACCAAAACATCCAAACGAACGGTCATCATTCAGCTCTATATCTAAACATGTGGTCATACTATGCTTGAAATCCGAACGAATCTTCTGGAGTTTGCAAATTCTCCCATATACTGTTTCCTATTATATTATGGATAGTAGAACTGGAGGCTTAAAAGGCTAAAGGATTGAGCTCTCGGCGTTGATCAATCCCTTAGAGATGCGCCACGCATTCGATTTCATTAAGCATTTTTTGGAGGTGATTGAATGCATATCTGGCCTTTGCAATGACTCGCGGTGGCCTACCGATGTATCGAGCCAGTCCTGCTATTCTTTCAAACAACTATGATACCAATTTGAACACTCCAGAGGGATGGAACCCTTGCTGGGAGCGGGATTCGATCCCATTGTGTATTGCAGGGCGAAATGGAGGCTTAGAGTTCATAATATCCTAAACATATTTCTGCGTGGCCTTCCTTGATGGCAACTTTGCAAAGCGGCAATCCTCTGAATAACACGGAGTACTTCGAGAAATTAAGAAGAAATGTGTGCTGATACACACTTCATTCCGTATCACAAACATCCTTTACTCTATTTGTTATCAAAATTAGTAGAATGATTTTGGCCTGGGGGCAAACTATGACGGCGTAAAAAAGTTTAAAGGAATGGGAAAATAAAATCAGATAAGAAGCCACTCATTCATGCATCTAAAGGATATGTGAGTTTTCCTTTAGTAGTAGTGTTTTTGACTTTGTGCTCGCAAACGCTCGAAAGATGCAACCACTTCCGACTGCACCTCAGTGGTAGAATTTTGTTCTATGTAAACGGAAAACACATTCAGGCATAAGAAGTGTAAATTATTCCACGAAACCATGAAAGGCGTACTTTTATTATATCTCCTTTAGAACACTTATTAACCACTGTACTCAACTCCTGAAGCACTTATTACTTCGCAAAAATGTCACGAGTTCAAAGAGTATAGCCATATTTCGTAATTTTGTCCTCGTGTTCTTTTCCTCGCCAACTGCATGTGTTCTCCCAATTCCCAATGCTCTGGAGCCGAGCAAATCGATGTAATGGCACCACCAAATGAAGGCCGAAGATAGAAAACCAGCAACGACAAGAGTCGTCAGCTGCGCAAAACGATAGTGCACAACAAAAGTACAGAATGGCCACTACTTAAGAAATCGTGCGATCTGGTAGACGAATCTCTTAAGGATACCTAAGAAATCCCTTTCTTCCTAGAAGTCGCAGGATTGCAGTGACTTGCGATCTCTCACATAGTTCTTCGTATAAAGCGTAGTTGAATTGCATGTAAATGATGGGCAAAAATGGGTTCATGCCCATTTGCTCATAGTTGATTCCAAGAATAGACTGCCCTTTTCCGGAAATGGCAGCCATATGGCAGTGAGAGGAAATATGTCTGTGTAGGCGATATTGAAGCAATGGGACTAACGATGCACTTTCCAAACATTCATCAAAACGTTCACTGCAACCCAGTTCGGTTAGCACTAGTGTCTAGCAAATCGTGCCAGTCGTTGGAGCTGCCGAACATTCTCTGTTCTTGACGATCAAATCCAACGAAATCATTGCAGATCGAAAAACTGTCACCAAATTTTAATCACTAGTAGACGAGTATGGTCTATTATTTTATGACATGTATCATGCTGTATTTGAGTTTTAGTTTCTTTAAACCTCTAGAAACAATGCTGTCAGAGTGTCAGAGAACAAATCTATCTAGCTCTTGTATTGGACTATGATTCATATTAAACGAGCGGATTGATTTGGGCTACAGCCCCGTAACTATCTTCACCATCTGTCGCTCATTCACATATACGTAGCCACATCAAATAATTGCCAATAAGGCAGATGACAGAGACGATCGCTAGCAACAAAACAACAATCTGGCATACCACAGAAGTAATAGCACAAATGCCAATCTCCGACGCCTTGACGACCCAAGCACGCATAGAGGGTCGGTCGGACAAAACCATAACACCGAGAATTTCTGAACAGCTGGCCATCCCCAACTGAGAAGCATAGGAACACTTCCAACACTTTCAACTGAATTTCATAAATAACAATATGATTATGATAATTGTATGGACACTACTAGCTATATTGTTTGAGCTCACCATAAATATCACAAAACACAAAGTTAGGTAGTATATTTTGCAGTTTTGAGAGGGCAACTAAAAGCGGTTCATGATGTTTCACTACGCGTCTTAATAACAAAGTCTCAATCCAAACGTTTTTTTTTTCAAAATCGGAGCTAATCCAGAGACCACTGACCGATGACAGTCGGCTCCAGATCGATCATCACCGCCCTAGGAACATGGCGTCCGCTGCCGGTCTCAGAGAAAAACGTTGAGAAGGAGTCATCACAGCCACCTAGGGATTTGTCTGACGGCATTTGACCGTCGGGCTGGATTCCTAAAATTACTATCCGTTTAGGAACTTCCAAGGTTCACTGGAAAACGAAGCTAAAGCAAGCTACTTATCCTCCACTAGGGAGTCCTAACAAAAATTACAAAATGGTTTCACACAGAAATTCTGGGTATGAAATATGTATGCTACAACCCCATATTTACGGTTAGAATCACGTTTCCATCTTTCCGATTTTCTTTTTAGGTCGAATATCAATAACAAGTAGGCCTGAACTAACGTAACCCAATTAAACATGGTTCTACTCCCATAAGATTAGATTTTTGCAGGCGTTGGATGAGAGCAAGGTCTGGAGCAGAATTAGTGACCAATTAGACCTAAAACTGACTGTTATTCGCAGACCCCGGACCAAAAGCTTAGAATCGTTCAATCTGGTACTCTGTTCAGGAAAAATCCTATACATATTTTAGGATAAAATAAAGGAACGACTAAGTCCTGTTGACTAGATGTAGGCTAAAGTGTAACAAGTAGTACCTTCGACTTAAAATCATGAAGCAAATACCCTAATAAGAGGGTAATATGATAGTTTTCAAACGGCCACCAATAAACGATACCATGTTCGAGACAGTACAGCTCCCAGCATGCATTTCCAATCTGTACGCCAGCCTGTCCAATGTGAATTGAGATCACTTCACGCTGCAAAAAAGGACTTTCAGAAGTGAAATCTGGACGCAGCTTGCTTTAGCACGAAAACCCTTAGAGACATTGTTAAGGTGATTCCCAAAAAGCAAGTCAGCATCAAAGTCTGGTCAACATTACACTTATGGGAAGGTTATAGCTCATACGTAAGGATTCAACTATACACAACGAGCTAAACCCTTTTGTCAGAACTGTTCTCTTCAAGCCCTTGCAACAGCAAGAACACTTCTCTATGTGACATACCAGCTTTTGACCGTATGTTTATACTTATACTTGAAGTATAAACATACTTTGGTGACCCATCCTCACTGGTTGTGCGGGCACCAGCATAACCTCCATTTTTCAGAGATATGCTGGTTAAGCCATTTTGGTTCCCTGAAATCCCGAGGTCAGCCTGGCTAAAGTCTGCTCTAGTTCGTCACCAACACAGGCAGTCGCAGCCCTTGAGTATCAGAGCGAGATTTTCACCATGCGACTTTTATACCAGGACTGTGGTGAATCCTGTTATTGGTTTACTCTTAGCTAGGGTTCCTGATGGAAACGCCGAACACCTTCTCAGCTTGGAGAACCCTGCCAGGGGATGGATCCCTCGCTGTACATCGCAGTCCGACACCCAGGAACACCTCCCAGTCACGATGAGGCGGTAAACCGTTAGGAGGACCATATGTTTATACTTTCTAAATCCTAATACTCGGAATATTTAATCAGCAACGTAAAGAACATGAAATAAAAGCTTAGAAGTACATCTAAAAGTAGTGGACTGCTAGTTAAACCAACTGAAAATGTCCTTCGTTCAGAACACCTGGTGTAAATGGCTCCACCGGAAAGAATGAATAAAACTAAAGACCGGTCATTACGAGCTATGAATTCCCAAAGGCGCGCGCTATCGAGCGGAACAGCAAGCAGCCAAAGTTGGCTGGCTTAGCTCCTGGCTGAATAGTGGGGTAACACCTCATGCCAATTTAAGAACAATCAAGAAAATCGTCTTATGAAAAAAAGAGAGTTCGGAGTGAATTCAATATTGTAAACAGGACAGCGAAGAAAATTTCTTTTACTTACCTAGTAAGGTAGGAATAGAACTGTTTAAAGAATGCAGTGTTCCTAAAACAACTGAATCCTGAGATCTTTAAACGTAAGAATTTTAGTTGGGCACAACCACAGTTCCCAGATTATCTATTAGGCTGTCTCTCGTTCTTCTTTTCAAATGGTTCAATAGTAGATCAATACAACATCGCCAGCATTTTTTCAAAGAGATGTGTGACAAAGCTTACAAAGAGATTCACGAAAAACAAGAACTAACTGCTACTCACCATGCCTGAGCTAAGTCGACCGCCTTGCACTCGTCCGAAGATGGTTAATGAGCCTCCCGCCCAACCGACAACCCCCCGAAGGGCGTTCCTGCGTGCCTCACCTCGCGCGCTCTGCTTCTCTGCACTCCGCCGCCACGCCCTCTTCCATACCCGTTTCTTTCCCGCCTGAAGGGCAAACAGTATCAGATTACAAATGATGGTGCATTTCTAATGAACATTGAGTTAGTTGGATTACAGCTGGCCTTCCAGGATGACGGTTCTGCAGTACTGCTTGCAAGCATCGTATTCTATTCACGATGTTCATCAGCTTTTCGCCACAATACGGTAATCTTTTACACCGACCTAAACTCATGCATAATGCTTCTCTATGCTCCTTTTTGAGCATTCCAATATTTCAATCAGACTGTGGGTTTCATTCTACGGATAGGTTCAGTCAAATTTATTCCTGAGCGGAGTGATTCATCCCCTCCATGAAAGCGATGGTGTTGATGATCATAATGGTAACGACGGCGACAGGATTGGTGATAATGTATGCATTTTTCTCTATATTCATCACCTATACCAGATCTATCACCTACTATCTTTTAACCACTGAGTAACTCCAGAGAGATCAGTAAAGTCGTCACTAGTCTATTTTGTCGGCTGGAACTGTCCAGTAAGTTCTGCTCACTTAAGGAAGAAGAAGAACAGTCCACTTTCTGTGGAACGACCTCTATTATCGCTGTGTTTGGAGGAGCTGATAGGGAATGTAGACACGAGCAACTTGTTACGTTATGTTAACACGTTATACTTAGGCAGACGTAAGGCTTATTTGTTGGAGAGCAATCTTGAACCAACTACCATTTACTTCTACGTCACACTTATTTGCAGAAATCAAGCTGAATCGATGAGCAGAGTACAATCGGCATACTTCCATTCTGAATCTGCCTTTCCTTTAAAACCGAAAACTTTTCGTCAATTTCATCTGCATCGAATCGCCTCTAGTTTTTCGAAGCATACCAATCTCGTAGTATCGTCGCTAACCGTCTCGGGATCCTTCAAGATCTATGGCATATGTAACCTAAACCATAAATAATATCACTTCTCGATCGGACTTCATGTCAACGAATACATATGAGTGAGATATTCGTTGTTTTTGAAGCCTGACCGAATTGCTGTCCATAATTCAGACGTAATATTTTCCTCTGTTCCTCTGTTCCTCTGTTACTAGGCTAACCTGAAGCTGGTGAAAGGTTTTAGTAGGGGCAAACGTTCTGACATCTTCGCCTTCTTCAGAGCCGGATTGATTTGGCGAACCCAATGAAGTGGAGCACCGTTCCAATCAAATATTCTCACTTGGCAGAATTCTTTTGTACAGAACTGTTCTTTATCTATTGCCACTCACTACGATCAACTGATCTCCTTTTATGATGTCAATACATTCTGCTGAAAGCGGAGATACACACAGCTGGAACGTTGCGTGGCAATAGTTCTTAGAAACCACGTTTTATTTAACCACAGCAAAAGCAATCAATATTTTATTCGATCTTCGATTAGAATTCATACTGTTTTTCGGCTTTAATTTATAGGCTGTTTATGAGGTCTACTTGACAAACTCCAATTCTGAAAACCCCACTAGAACTTGTGTTTTACGAATCAATGATATCTCTTCGCAAATATTCATCACAGGGAACGTTATCCAGGCAGTGCTAATGAGAGATAGGTATCTACGGAAAACAAGGAGTGTCAGATCAGCAGAACCTAATAGAGTAGAAATGTATTACCATACCAAGCAAATCCTAGCAAATATCCCTTGCGGTACCTGGTATTCATTGCAGCACCAGCGAGCTGTCTTATAAACCTAATCCTCTCCTCTAATTTAAGTATCAGAATACGGTTCGACAATAAGATCACAGACAAGGTTAGTTTGACTTGAGGAAAAACGATCTCAGTAGGCGGACGGTACGGTGACTTGTCCGTCGTAACAGCTACGAGCATCATGTCGTTTACTAGTCGTCGTTGTCATTGGACGATGGATCACTCACCTTCAAAATCGACCCAATTTCAGCATTAACATCAATAGAACGGAAGCAATTATGGGAGGTTTGCTAGCTTTGGAATAGGAACGTTCCAGAATTGCGACAATTTCTGTAATTAGTTTGCTGGACAATCCAAGGCAACCCAGCTCAAAAGGCCGAATCGGACTATGACAAAGTGATATTATTTCATCTTCATTCTTACTTCTTTATTTTCATCTTCTATCATAAAGATTACTACTCTCATTGAAGTATTGTCCTCTTTTCCTCAATTTTCTGTATCCGTTGCAGAAAGGGCGCGTTTGGCGCAGTGGTCGGAGGCGCCCAGGAATGCACACATGGGATCGATAACCGCGCCCGTGGCTCACCAAGCTTTCCATCCCTCCAAGGTCGAAAAATCGGTATCAGACTTGTCTGCGAGGGTAGCAGTGCTGGTTCGATGCATCGACAGGCCACCGCGAGTCTTTGTAAAGGCCAAATATGCACTCGGTCAACTCCAGCGATGCTTAATGAAGTCGAAGGCATGGCGCATTCCTGAGGGATTGATCAACACCGTGAGCTCTATCCTTTATTTTATCTTTTCATCTATGGCTCTCTGAAATCCCGAGGTCAGCCTGGCTAAAGTCTGCTCTAGGTCGTCACCAACACAGGCAGTCGCAGCCCTTGTGTATCAGAAATTTTATCCGTAATTTGTAATGAAATTTGTAATGAAATTTTATCCGTTTCAGACAGTGTTTATAACCGGAGTGAGATTTTCACGAATTCGTTTTTCTCCTTTAAATAGCGTTTTACAGTCTTAATTTGTAGCAGCTACTGTAATGTGAAGAATGGTAGACTTAGTCTGTCATTTAGTTTTAGAGGAGTGACTAGCGCTTTACGGCACATCTAAAAGTGACTAAAATTGTCAAAATATGAGCAAGTCAGAGTGCCGCCTTCGAGAATCTACGTAGATCTTTGTATTTGGCACGGGCCGTTTCTTCACTTTTAGCAACCTCAAATGATGTTGGCAACTTTGCGAAACGAATATTCTAGAAAAGTTTTAGCAACTGTAGCTTCTGTAAATACCTTTAGATTGTTCGACTTACACGGAGCTGTTATAATGCTGTGCAAATAGTGTAACGTAAACAATCCGAAGTTATTTATTGGCTGTTCACGCTGAAGTTAAGTGGAAGCCTGTTTGGTAAAGCATGTAGCTACAATGTTATCTCTTAGACGACTCAGTTTACGTTTAAGTGACCAAGCGCGATAGATGAGGATCTGCTTCATTACTATCGATTCGCATTAAGAAAAGCTGCAATTCTACCACTGCATGTGGAAAGGCGGGGTCGGAGGAATTGCCTTGGTCGTCATACTTGAAAAAAGATGCCCAATTTAGACGCATGAACTACTTCGTATCCAGAAATTGACATTTTGACAAAGGTTTGCACTAGTGTATCCTTTGAAATGTCTATAGCGAGTAGTACTAGAGAGACTGCTTTTTTCAATACGATCACTTATGGGAACCAGAGGACACAGTTTTGCGAAGACTATTAGTGGAATGGTCGAAAGGTAAGCTTAGATTTTCTAATGGCTACTTTTTCATAACCAAACCACAATAAGGTGTGAAAAAAGCTTACAATATCGGTTTCCAGCTAACATAAAAATATAATTATGGAATATCAATGTAATCTTAGCGCAT